TATAGCCAAAGGAGTATAAATTGTTCTATCATACAGACACATGCACATGTGTTTTCACTGCAGCACTATTAACAATACCAAAAACATGGAATCAACCTAAAAGCTCATCAATGGTAGACTGGATAAAAAAAAATGTAGCACACATATACCACTGAATAGTATGCAGCCATAAAAATGAATGACATTATATCTATTGATGGAACATGGATGGAGTCGGAGGTCATTATACTTAGCAAAGTAATGCAGGAACAGAAGACTAAATATTGCATGTTCTCACTTATAAGTGGGAGCTAAAAATGAGAAAAAATGGACACACAGAGGAGAACGACAGCACTGAGGACTACCAAAGAGTGGAGGATGGGAGGAAGGAGAGGATCAGGAAAAATAGCTCATGAGTGCCAGGCTTAATACCTAGGTGACAAAATAACCTGTACAACAAACCCATGACACAAGTTCACCTGTATAACAAACCTGCATCTGAACTTAATGTATGTATGCCTGAACTTAATATAAAAGATAAAAAAAGAATAAAGAAAAAAATAGATTTCAAAACGAAAACTTTGAGAGGAGGCAAAAGGTCACTATATATAATAATAAAGGAGTCAATTCATCAAAGGAATGCAACAATTTTAAATATATATGCACCCAACACTGGAGCACCCAGATATATAAAACAAATACTATTAGAGCTAAAGAGAGAGATAGGCTGCAATACAATAATAGAGACTTCAGCACCCCACATTCAGCATTGGACAGATCTTCCAGACAGAAACTCAACAACGACAACAAAAAACCAGACTTAATCTGCACTATAGACCACATGGATCTAACAGATATTTACAGAACATTTCATCCAACAGTTACAGAATACACATTCTTTTCCTCAGCACATGGATCATTCTCGGGGAGAGACCATATGTTAGGTCACAAAACATTTTAAAAATTGAAATAATATCAAGCTTCTTGTCAGACCACAATGGAATAAAACTAGAAATGAGTAACAAGAGAAATTTTGGAAACTATACAAATACATGAAAACTCAACAGTCTGCTTCTGAATGATTAAAGGGTCAATGAAGAAGTTAAGAAGGAAATTTAAAAATTTCTTGAAACAACTGATAATGGAAACACAACATACCAAAACCTATGGGATAGAGCAAAAGCAGTACTAAGAAAGAGGTTTATAGCTATAAGTGCCAACATCAAAAAAAGTAAAAACTTCAAATAATCTAATTATGCATCTTAAAGAGCTGCAAAGAAAGAGGAAACCAAACCAAAAATTAGTAGAAGAATAAAGAGCAGAGCAGAAATAAAAGAAATTGAAATGAAAAAAAAAAACTAGAAAAGAGCAATAAAATAAAAGTTGTTTTTTAATAACCAAAATTGACAAACCATTAGCCAGACTAAGAAAAAAAGAGAAAATCCAAATAAATAAAATCAGAAATAAAAAAACTATTTGGGAGGCTGAGGCAGGCAGATCACTTGAGGCCAGGAGCTCAAGACCAGGCTGGTCAACATGACAAAATCCCATCTCTACTAAAAATACAAAAATTAGCCAGGCGTGGTGGCAGGTGCATGTAAGCCCAGCTACTAGGGTGGCTGAGGCAAGAAAATTGCTTGATCCCAGGAAATGGAGGTTCTAGTGAGCTTAAGACTGCTCCACTGCACTCCAGCCTAGGCGACAGAGCGCAATTCTGTGAAGAAAAAAAAAGAAAAAAGAAATGAACAAGGAGACGTTAAAACTGATGCTGCAGAAAGTCAAAGGATCATTACTGGCTCCTATGAGCAAATATATGCCTATAAATTGAAAAATCTAGACCAAATGGACTAATTCCTAGATACCTACAACCTCTCAAGACTGAAGCAGGAAGAAACCATAACCTGAACAGACCAATAACAAGTAACAACATCAAAGCCATAATAAAAGTCTTCTAGTAAAGAAAAGCCTGGGACTTTTCTTCACTGCTGAATTCACTGGCTTCACTGCTGAATTCTACCCAACATTAAAAGAAAAACCAATACCAATCCTACTCAAACTATTTTGAAAAACAGAGGAAGATGGAATATTTTCAAACTAATTCTATGAGGCCAGTATTGCTCTCATACCAAAACCAGACAAAGACACATCAAAAAAAGAAAGCTACAGGCCAAAAATCACTGATGAACAATGATGCAGAAATCCTCAACAAAATACCAGCAAATCAAATTCAACAATATATTAGAAAGAATATTCATCATGACCAAGTGAGATTTATCCCTGGGATACAAGGATGAGTCAACATACACAAATTAATGTATGTGATAAATCATATCAACAGAATGAAGAATAAAAAAACATATGATCATTTCAATTGATGCTGAAAAAGCATTTAATAAAACTCAACATTGTCATCATGATATAAACCCTTAAAACACTGGCGATAGAAAGAACATGCTTCACTGTAATAAAAGTCACATACAACAGATCCACAGCTAGCACTGAAATGGCCACATGGTCTGGGGTAACACTGAGAGTTCTTGATCTCACAGACAAGGAAATCAAGGACACGGACACACAAAGAATGAGGTTTAGAGCAGAAATTTAATAGGAGAAAGAAAGAAAACAACTTTCTGCTACAGAGAGGGGTCCCGAAAAAAGGGTTGCCATCCTGCAGTGAAATGCAGGGGTTTTTATAGATAAGCTAGTAGGGAGGCAGTATCTGATACATAGGGTACAAACAACCGGATAGGACCAGGTGTACCATCTGCATAGGGCATGAATCTCTGGCAGCCCCCACCCTAAACTTTTATTATACAGGCAGGTCCTCAGCCTGAGTTACTCCATGTTGCTCATTTCTTTCTTACTGTGCATGTGCTAAAAAAAGGGAAGTGGAACCCTCATGGTGGACATGCCTGGCCCCATGTGGCCTTTTCTATCTGTGCAGCTGCTGGCATCCCCCTATGAAGGTTTCCAGCTTCCTATCTATGTATGATAGAAAATCAGTGTACCAACATTTTATCTTTATATACCATCTCAAGCACAGGATTTAAACTTTCATAAAATATACAGTTATCAGGAGTATTAAAAATTTAGAAATAAATTTAACAATAATGTGAAAGAATTATTTGCAGAAAACTGTAAAACTTTATTAAGAGAATGTTAGCAGTCAAATTTCCAGCATAAGAACAACATTCT